CGCTTTGGCAAAAGCGATTACCGCAGTCGATGCAATGATGAGCTCTATGAGATATACGACAACATTGTTAGTTGATTTATTCTCTGTTCGGTTTGTCATTTCATCATGCCAGACTTACTTCGCAGTAATATTTGCAAATCGTGCAAATTTTTTGCCAAGCTAATGGTTTGCTTGACCCGACGCATCGGTCTGGAGAATCCCCAGCAGAGTCGATAATTACAGTAACCATGGATCGGTTTCGCATCGCAATGACGATATTGCTGCTGTAGAGCRAAGCATCGAACAAGAGCCAAATAACACCATTGGGCGCAGCAATAAGGGATGTGCCCAATCACTTTATGGAAGAATTTGCAGAAGGGTYTTGSYTTTGCGGGCTTACAAAATCCAATTCCTCTTGACAATCATATGTCTAGAAAACAACACCCTTTATATGTGTGCGCTACCAGGAGTGCGTCTTCTAGTGGCCCATTTAGTTTGTCATCAATTTTGTAATTGCCAAARGGGGAAAGTGGGGCAAAATCACGCACACACATTAAGGCGTCGCGTATGTGGCAGGTGTTGCACACATACACGTATAAAAATCTAAATGTATGTGTGCCTGTTCACTTGCCTTGACTGAAGTGGCGCACCGTCATATATTTGCGCAAAGCTTAGRCGATTTCTTTGTTCGCACTTTTCGGCAGCCGCTACCCGCTGGCGCAAATAGTTCACAGACAATAATTGTCCACTGAGAGAAATGACATAAGTGTCCAGAAGGGAGTAAGAAGTCTGTGTGTTTGTGTCTCCGTCACACTCAAACTCTTTTCGGCTGAAACTAGAAAAAATTTCCTTTGAACAGTGGTTGTATGGGTGGGCCATCTAACGTTTTAATTTTGAATTATCTATGTTTCGACATTGGAAACGTCAAATACCATTCAGAAAGTGACAGATATTCAGTAAAAAGTCTAAAATTTACGAAATGGGTCGCTATGAGCTTAAGTAAGTCCTAACGAAAACTGAAAATTCTATTTTTTTATATCTATTATCTATTTGTTTTTTATTTTTGGCAAAAACAAAATCCCGTAATAGTATTATACTATATCTAGTAATGAGCAAAAATTAATGGTGTATAGCGGAACCTCACTTTCCTTTGAGTCAAACATTCTTAGCAAACTTAACAGAGTAATACACAAGCTATTGGAAAAAAAAGTGAAAATAATATTCCTTATAAGTTCAAAATTTCTCGCAGGAATCCTTTCTAAATTCCAGTTCTTCTGCAGAATACTTCTTCTAGCACAGAGGTGGGAAAGCAGGGACAAATAATTTAGCAAGGTTTGGAAGACAAGTTTATGTAACATTATAGTCAAAATTCACAACTGGAACTGCTCCAGCAACTGGTTAAGGATTTTGAGCGCCATCAATTACAAGTCACTACTCCAGTGTATACACTTTCCTACCAGCTTGACAAAAAGTTTTGAACCATCATCGAATACGTTTAACAGTGTTCGATTCAAGACTGAAGCATTCTCTCARATCTTTGGAAGCTTTAATGCTTGAAAATTCTTCAAATGGAGAATAATGTCTATCCGTKCAATCTGTCATAACGGTGACGAAARTGTCCTAGTGGTAATGTGGCATTAAAGTCTCAAAGGTCTCAAAATATGTAAAATGTTCCATTTTGGTCGTGTTAGAAGATAATACGCAACGATGACCTAATAGCCAAATCGAGTAACCCTGACTTGCACCAGATCTAAAATAACGTTTAGGAGAATTATTTTCAGTAGGAAAATATATTATCTCTGGTTGGTCGGTTGGTTCAGTTTTTAATCGCAGGTGAATAATTCAGACAATGCGGACTCGGTCCCCAATTTACATAGGAAGGCTCATGTCAAAATCAGTAAAGTCCTTAACATTGAAAACTTTCAAGAATGACATTTGTCCGACCATTCTATCCATCRACTAGAAGAATTAATCTAATCCATTCCCGCGATAGTCGGCACGGAAACGGATTTTTGTCCGGCCAAAGACGGTCAAAACGGCAGCATTCTTGCAAATTACTTAAGAAATGTTCCGAACTACTTCTAAATAAATATATTTTATCTCTACCATAAATTTTGATAATATTTGTATTATATATCACCATCGCAAGCTACTTGGGCTTTCAACAAAGAGCTGCCAATATGTGACTTATATGGTGCTAAAACTTTACACGGTCATAACAACAGGTGGGAACGATCTAAGAATATTTATATATATAATGAATGRATCAGTCCGGGTCAAATTTGATCTTGGCTGCATACACGCAATTTAGGTATTTCGTGCGACTTAGAATTTAGTTTTACTATTTTAAGATAACTTTATTACAGATATAACTCAGTTTGCTTTTATTTTCCCCAATAAAAGCGGTATCTACAAAGTAATGGCGAAAATGCGCGCCGAAATATAGAGCAGTGAGCAGACACGCGGTAGCAAAATGGAACGAAATGATTGCGCAGATAAAACATCAAAATGAAGAGTGCAACTCAAATTCATATAAAACAGCACGCGACCCCAAAAGGTGACTCGACTACATGGCTTCGTGAGTTGAACGCCAGCACCATCATAACCCACTCGCCCGTTTGAGGTTGATACTTGCACACACACACACACATATGTAATTACACTTGTTTACATAAGAAATCCTCGCATATACGATTTTTTTTTTTTTCTTAGTGCTGCACACTATTTGTGACCAACTTGTGTCACACATACAACATACAACATACAACATGCAACAATACCGCAACGCCGCAACCCGCCACAACTTCACTATTCAAAGCGCTCGAATGATGCAGTGCTTCTCTTTTATTCTACACAAACTGTACATACGTATATATTTCTATTTATTTCTACATGTGTTGGTGGGTGTTTGTGTGTGTTTGGTCGTCCGCACGACTTACCTGATACACAATCATTGCCATAACATCGCAATGCGGTTGATTTATGGCGAGAAACTCTTTTATGACCTTCGTCAATATTTCATTCGGTGGCACTAAATCACGTATAATTTGGCACAACACTTGTCCATAAATCCAGGCGGCATCACGCGTTGATGATTTAATACAATGTAGCAGTATATCGACTTTATCGGTCTGTTGGGCGATTATCTCCGGTTCGTCTTGGACAATGCCGTTGGAGAGTTCCGTATTTTCCAGTTGCTTGGCTGAACCTGTAAATAATACAAAATATACAAACATATAAATATTGTCGTATATTTATGTATGTATGTAAGTACTTAGTGTAGCTATGTATATGTATATCTAAGCAGTTATAAACCGAATATATATGTACGGTGCTGATAATTGAACTCATATCGCCAAGTTTTGCGGCAACGACTGATTAGTTTCCGCACGCTTTCGAGCACACTTACTTACTGCCTTACTTTTACTACTTACAAACACATGTGAGAACGTAAGTATGTAAGCGATAAAGACAAATGTGCGAAGTTCATGTCGTATCCCGCTGAATTAGCAGCAATTTTTTTCCTACCCGCTGGAGTGTGAACTTGATTTAGAGGGCAGTATCTTCATGTACAAACTACGCAACAATTTGCCACGAAGTAAATGATAAAATATAGGGGTTTACTAGGAAAATATATGAGGTGTGCTTCAGAGCTACTACTTGAAGATGGTACAATCAACACTGACGCTTCGAAAACGTTGAAGTTAATTGGTGGAGTAGGAGTCGCAGGACCACACAACAAACTATACATATCTATGGGAAGTTTTCTCAGCAATTTTCAAGCAGAAGTCTTAACCGTAAATCGGTGCGTATCGCAACTAACGTGTAACCACATTTAGCGACAGTCAAGCGGCGCTTAAGGCAACTTATAACCAGGAGATCAAACCAATACTGGTGCAGGAGTGTAGAAAACAGCTGATCAGTTAATCGGAACGTAACCCAATGCACCATACCTTTATAATATAGACCTAGCTGCTTGTGCGAATTGTCGTTTCTGCGGCAGGGGGCTTGGAACTTCAGAATACCTTCTAATTGACTGCATAGCAGTCTGCAGTATCAAGGCGWTGGTATTCATGTTTCCAAACAGGGAACACATCGTCCCACTATGCTGGGATGATTTAGAAGACGGATCAATAGACCTAAGGTTATGGTGTAATCCTCATTTATTTGTCTTATACCTATATATAATATTATAGGGCTATCTTCTAAGTAGGACTTCAATATTTAGAATGGCCACCTTTAGCGTTAATTACTTACTTATTTACAAAAATACTTCATGCAGGCTATCTATAAAGTTTTGAAGAAAAGCGATTGTAGTATATTCTTCCCAAAAGTTCTGTAGTCTATTAAAAACCTCTCGTTTATTGGAACATCAAGACGATTGCTCATCCAAATATTGCCATAAATGCGCAACAATATTTAAGTAAGGGATTTGGGCAGGATACCGTAGGAGCTCTGACGATTTTCGATCGATATATTCTTTCCCAACTTTTTTTTGTACTTAGCTGCTGCACGACTGGACTATCTCATCAATTTGCTTTCGACCGTGACCAGTTTTGATGGACCACTGCAGCTAACAGTTTTCCCAAAACTTGACGGTTTTTGATTATACTTTCTTCTTTTTACTAATTCCAATCGTGTTTTCAAGTTCTTTTTGCTCATAAAAGGTTTATATATCTTGTAGAGCGTGAAATAACAACCTTCTCGGTTTCTACGCTGAATTTTACGCTCAGAAACATGAAGGCTCTACTAAATATTCAAAGACTAGTGAAAATTGTGCTAGGGTATCCGTAGTTTTGTCGGATACTATATATATACAGGTTTGTCTGTATGGCGAAACAGTTCCTTATGTTTTGAGATACCTCCCTAAAAAGCTGTTCACTTGTCTGAACTGGCGATATCGGAGCTCTTTAGAATATATCTGCCATACAAACTGAACGGTCGAAATCAAGTGCTTGTATGGAATTTTGCCATTTTCGTTTTGTGTATGATCGTAATAATCTTCCGACTGCGCACGCTATTCGTAGAATTGTTGAAAATTTCGAGTGTACATTTTATTTAGAGGAGCTTCAAGTGGCAATAGGATAGAAAGCCGCTCGAAGTAAAGAAAATATTGCTGCCCTTCGGCAAGTGTTGCCGGAGACCRCAATTTGACGATTTCAAGACGTTCCAGGGAATTGCGATTGTCTCAAACCACAATCAGGTGGATTTTGTTCTCACTCTAGAACTGAAACCATTGGGCCACCGTAAACGTCGTGAATTTGCAGATTTTGCCTTGGAACAATTTCAAAACGATAAGGATTTTGTCGATTTTGGTACGAAGTTAACCCACAAATTATTCATCAACAAAGATTACATTTACCTAAAGTAGGGTAATCTGGCATATATATTTTTTTTTTTACATTTTTTTAAATAGAAATTTTTATTCGACGATAGAACTTTTTTTCACATATCATGAAGTATATCGTGGAGTGTATAAACAAATTTTTTCGGAATTTTTTGATAACATCTGTCGGAAAAATGGCTGGGTGAATGAGATGCGTTTTTTTTTTACTGGCGGACACGATTTCTCATGTCATTTGGATCATCTTAAAAAGTGAATGGTTATCGTCCCTACTAAAATCATGAAAAAATGTTGATAAATAAAAAAGTAATTAACTTTTTTTTATTTTTTTTTTTTATTTTTTTTTAATTTTTCCCATGCTTTTTTACATAAATTTTGTCATAACATTGTCAATAAATTATAAAAAGTTACGAGGTAGCCTTATCTAGTAGAGACGATAGCCAGGCGTTTTGTGAACATTTAAAAAAGAATTAAGCAAATCGGTTGAGTAGTTCGACCGGAATCATGTTCGCCAGTGTAAGAAAGTATGCTTTGAGCAAAACGCGTTTAAAGTTTTAGGTACTGTTGTGTACCGTAGCAGGTGTGCACTCCAAACGCTATGAACGTCGAGCGGTATTATCATTTTTGAGTATTTTTCGAAACCTGCCAATGGTAAAATGGATTTCTACATTAATTCTAAGGGTTTAAGGAAACAGAAAATGCACAAGAAAAATTTTTTTAGAAAAAAGATTACCCTACCTTAACCCTTAATAGTGTAACAAAAAAAAAAAAAATAATAATAATATATTTAATTTTTTGCATGCGAAAAAAATGATTGCAAAAAGGCTGTTTTTTAAGCGTGGAAAACYATGTAACCCCTTAAAATGATTAGAGGACTGTTTTTGAAGGCAATTCGGCCAACAAATGGCTTTGAGCCTCCATGGCGAAACCACTCAAATAGGTTGGGGCTTATCGACTTAGAACTTAACGAGAGCGTATCTGCTTCGGCGGTTCAATTCACGGAAAGCAGTGCAGCCAATTAAAGCAGCATGGCTGACTGAATGTTCATCAGGCTTGAGGCCTTGAATTCCCACACTACTACTAACAAAAGAGCCTAACTTAAATTAAAACTTTACACTTTTTCCAACCAAACATTTTTTTTTTTTTTTGGCAACAAGCAGGTTTCATGGAGCTTTAACACAAAGTAAAAACTACCACAGCTTAAGGTTGCTGCCAAAAACAAAACAACAAATGCGTGTGCGTCTACACATTTACAGTCGCATAAATTTCCAGGCGAATTATAATAAATTTACCGCTCAATTTTAATAGAACAGCAACAATATTTCACGAAGGCACTTTCTTAAATTCTAAGCACGTCGCGCTTGAGAAATTACG